TAATCACTTGCGTACTTGCTTTGTTGAAGCAGGGCCTAATTCAATAAACTTGATTGGTTTTTTATTTAACTCAAGGATACTGCATCATAAAATGTATTTAACGTTAATGAATAGGTGCAGTTGAGTTCTAATTATTGAATGCTTCATGTATACTAGTAAATGGTCTGTAATATAGTCATTGCTATTAAAATGTCAGCATTTTCTAAACCGAGTGGAAAACCTGAGATTTCAGTTACCAAAGAGCAGTAACTATTTTGGCAAATGTGCTGCCATTTTAAGGCCTGATTTTCAGGGGTTCTGATCACTTGCAGCTCCCGTTGAGTTCAGCTGGAGTGTTAGGAGCTCAGTGCTTTTGAAAATCAAGCAATAAGTGACCACTGTGTATGTTATAAAAATAACGAAGACTGAGTAATAGGAGAATTTACGACATATCTATTCCTTTTTGCTAACACATGAGATCACTCTTTTTTGTGAGAATTATCAGGTTTTTTGGGTTTAGCAAAGTAAGCATTACTGACAGCATTCATTTTATACGTATTCTGGGCTTAGAGCCTCAGCTGGGGTAAATGATGGTAGCGTCATTGAAGTACGTGATACTGTAGCCATTTATATAAGCTGAGCATCAGCCCTTACAGGTTTAATAGGACCTGAATGACTTGAAATATTTACTTTTCTAGGGTGTGCTGATCTCCAAACTCTTGATACTATGCAGCCAATGGAAAGGAAAAGACAGGGCTACATTCATGAGTTGATCCAGACTGAAGAGAGGTACATGGACGATCTTCAGCTTGTCTTAGAGGTGAGTTACTTGGAAACAAAAGGTGTTTTAAACAACTGTCAAAGCAAAGCCTTCAATGTCTTCAATGTCTCTTCTTTATCAGATGATCATTATGACATTTGATTCATAGCTGAGTTGTGTAAATCTATGAAGTCCGAGGGCTGGTCTTCACTGTGGGGGTAAGTCGACCTAAGTTACACTACTCCAGCTATGTGAATGACGTAGCTGGAGTCAACGTGGCTTAGGTCAACTTACCCTGGTGTCTTCACTGCGCTGCGTCGACGGGAGACGCTCTCCGGTTGACTTCCCGTACGCTTGGAGAGCTGGAGTACCGGGGTCGACCAAAGAGTGCTCTGCAATCGATTTAGCGGGTCTTCGCTAGACCAGCCGTCCCGTATAGACCCTGCGGCGTGGCGTAAAAGGCACCTAGTTCACATTAATGTAGTCCTGTGGGGCAGTTAGAGCACTTTACATAACACACCTCTCTGGCATGCCATGCGTGCAGACAAGCCCTTAGACAGCTATTGTCTGTAGTCATCTTTTAAATAACTCTGCAAGTTCTCCTTTGCTACTACCGTCAGACTATTTTAAGGAAGCCAGCCTATCCCCAGTGCCTTACAGATTTCATTCAAGCCAGTTACTGAATTGCTTGCTCTAGGACTACATTGCTGCTTCAGTATTTATCTTCCTCCCCTAGAGAAACACCCCTTTCCCTCTGGCATTACCCTGAGTTGTGGTTCCTAAAGCAAAAAAAAACATTTAAATATTTTTGCAAGTACTGCATATTCTCTCACTTGAGTAACTCTTTTCTCCTAAAGGACCTTCTGACTTAGTATTTAGTATTTATGTATCACCCTTTACCTTCAACGTTGGTCTGAGACACTCAAATATTATGGTGATGAGCACAGTATAAGTATCTATATAGAACAGAATAGTCTATAGAGGTCAAAGTGCTTTATAAATGTTAGCTAGTTCTCACATACTATCAGCATGGGATAGGTAAGTAATGCCTACATTTTATAAGTGGGGGAAACTGAGGCAGCGGTTGAGCAACATGCTGCAGGGGAAACTATCACAGTTCAGGGTAACTGCACCAGTATTCCTCCTCCATGGTCCAGCAAGGGCACCAACTCTTAGGCTGCTTCTCCCAGCTGTCTCTCCCTCCCTTCTGACCGGGGTTTTTCCAGGATCCACCGTTCCCTGCCTACCCTGGGAGTTGCCCAGCAAGACAGACTGGCTCACCAAGCCTTCTCCTGGGAGTGTATAAACAACACAATTACCCACAGTTAATTTACCACACAGCCTTTCTGAGCAATCACATTTATTCTTAGGGTAAAAATATTACAGTTAAACATTCTTAGCATGTGAGCAAAAGTTAAGTCTTAGGAAGCCATGCTGTGGTGGTGGTAGTTTGGGCTATGCGAAGTTCGTGTAAAGGTGGTGGTGTGACGGGTTGGGTCACAGAAACCCTCTTGGGAGCTGCCACCCGATGTGCCAAGACTACTTCTATCCCGCCTTCCCTGCCAGCTCAGGACTCCAGCACCCTGTCTTGCTGAGCCAGACACTCCCGTCTGCTCCAACAAAGACCCAGGGTCTGAATTACTTGCCCCAAAGCTGCAGGCTTCACTGAAAGCTAACAAGTGTTCCTGTCTTTAACACTCAGATGCCCAACTCCCAATGGAGGCTAAACCCAGATAAATCAGTTCTACCCTGTATAAAGCTAATACAGGGCAAACTGATA